GGAACAAGTTGGACATCAAGGAAAGCACCAAAAGGAGAATCTCTCCTAAACACTTCTGGGATTTCCATATGATCACACAACTTTTCTTTCATCAATTTTTGGAAGTCTTGCAGTGAAGACTTCACAGTCAGCTTCATATGTGGAAAGTCCTTTGAATTTACCTTCGTCTTTATCGCCGGAACCTATATAACGACATATAATGTCAACGAATTTCATATGGAAAGATATGCAATTAGTGCGACCATGAGGTCGACACTTATTTTAGTCGATCAATGAAGTCGATCGGACTTTAAATTCATAAACCATTGTCCATTGGTTATTTGGAGAGAGAATAATTCATTTAAAATCAAGTTTCTGACCTCGAATGTTCCTTGTGTGGGCTTTGGGCTACCGTTGTGCTCTTTCATCCTCTCTTCCGCATGATACTCATCGTTCCATTCATGGAGGAAGACACAGAAGCATTCTTCGTCCTCATTGTAGAAATTCAAGGTTTTCCGAGACCGGTGACTTTGGATGGGTAGGGTTTCGATCAAGTTTTGCAGGTGTCGAAGAGGGGGGATAGAGCACACACAGATCGAAAACTCAATGGTCGCACGATGAAGGAAGATGTTTATGGAGGGTTTTTGTATAGTCTCTTCCGACGTCGTTTCGCCCATTCTCGGATTTTTTATTTAAATTTGAAGTTGAAACACCGTTTACGCTTCGTTAAATGGAATAACTTATAATTTTCAAAGTAGCGCGTCGGTCATACACGCCTGGACATTTCCGTCAATTCACCTTTACAGGGTAGTCCACCAAATACGAAACATTTACAGGGCATTTTGATAAATACTTCCCATTTTAAGAGGCTGAAACAAACAGTCTGAACCATTAAGTGCTGAATCATTCAGACATCTGAACCATTAAGGGACTGAAACAAACAGCCCCTAAATCTCAAATCTTCTTTTGTGCACCTTGATTGCATATCATTTTTATGGACCTTTTCACATAATTTTTTTAATTTAAAAAATAAATGCAATAAAGAAATATTTTTATTGATATGCAAGTGCATGTATAAAATTTGCCTTTTGGTCAATTACTTACGGGGTGGCGTGGAACAACCGATATCTAGTTCACAGCACCCACCATGGCAGTTCCACCTAAACGAGACAATCTTCCAGTCGATATCGTTGAAATCGACAGCAGCGACGACGAAGGCGGCGGCATCAATGGCGCCGGAAAGAGCCAAACCCGGGATGTAATAATATCTACCGCCAAAGATCCACAGAGCAAAACACATGGAGTTTCCCTTCCTGATCCGAATAATCTCCCACCGGAGTCTAGGAGTTTCTGGAAGGCCGGGAATATTGAAATTTCATCTGCTAAATCAGTAGCCATCGAGGGTTTCCTTCTTCTTGCGTTGTTTTTTTTTCCAGTCAAATTTCAGAGTTCACTAAATTGTTCGTGTTTACTTAATCCCTAAAAGTTATAAACACGTGTATGTGATAGTACATGGCCCAAAAATAGTGTTTGTAATCTTGTAGAATTAGATAGTACCCTCAAGGGGCTAAATGTTTTAGTAATAATTGTTAATAAACAGAAAGTAGAAGGGATTAGATCCCACTGCTCCATTCTAAAATTCTATTTTGATTCTTAAATTATTAATCGGTTCTTTCACGGGTAAGTTGCAGATGATGTGGAACATGCACGTGTACATCCCAAGTTCTTACATTCGAATGCCACTTCTCACAAATGGGCGTTTGGAGGTGGAACTTTCTTCATTGACCTAAAATTTTAGTAACAGTTTAATACTTGATGTTGTGCATATGCTGACATGTGAATTATGTTTTCACTGCAGCAATTGCCGAGCTCTTGGATAATGCTGTAGACGAGGTAGTTACCATTAATTTTCTGTTTTGTAGGTTCACTTGCACAAAGTTTGCTGGAACAAAAGGCTTCACAATATCGCCATAACTCACAAATTGCCTACATCTGCCATTAGTATTTTCATTGAGTCCACTTAGTGCCTTAATTGTTACGGAGTAGTAACCACCCATCCTTGGTGTTTTTTTAATTTTGTGATCATCATCATGTTTTGAACAATCCAATATTACATGAGAATCTAAATTGAAATTAATTCATTGGAATGAACTTTCCTCGTATTTTTTATTCAATCCTTATGTAGTCGACATGCAACTGATCTTTACACTGCATGCATCCCATATTCTATATTTCAGTTTCAAAGCTAATAGTTTCTTGTCTCATTCTATCTGCATTATGCAAGTAGCTGTTCTCTGGTCTTGAGGAGTTCACTGTTGTGATCTTTGGACCTTAAATTAGACTAATTGATTATTCTTGAAATTTAGAAGCATAAAGTGTTCCATCTTTTTTCTGAAGTAATCCAAGTATTATTTTCTTCTCTTGGAGCTAGTACCAGAGGTACATCCGTACATGGATTCAGGTTTTTGAAAATATTGTTTCCAAATTCACTTATCATAGGATGTGATCAGTGGACTTGTAAATATGCTACATACTTCATGTGCAAACATTAGGAGGGTGTCTCTGAGAGTAGTATCTAATGGAAACATTTAGAGGGTGTTTGCCACTGTGGTGGATTCCTTGAAAAGCAGAAGTCATAATGCAGAAGCCAAAAGCAATTAATCCCAACTTTGCCAAAAAACACTTTTGGAGCCCATTTGGCACTCTGAACTCTGAAGCCACTGAAGCTATACACCACAAGCAGAATTAGATTTACCAAACACCCAAAATTGCTTTTGGACTAAGTAGAAGCTCAAAAGTGTTAGGGGTGAACCGGGGGTCTTATCAAGTTGTTATTTTTGGAGATGGAATTGTGGAATAATGAAGGAGAAATGGGCTGGATGAAAATATGGGAATGTGAAGGAGTTCTTTTTGGGTTTTGATATTATGAAGAAGAGTGGAAAATCAGGGATGAAGGATGGGTTTAGAAAGGATGGGATAAATTCCAAATAAGGAATAAGAGATAAATACACTCTTATCTTAATTTGGAGCCAAATTAATACTAAAGGATAAGCTCACTTGGGGTTGAACTCTAGTATTTAATCAAGATATTACACACTCAATCAAATATCTAGAACCTAAAACTCACACTTAAGATAACCACTCTTACAACAACAACAACCCAGTTAAATCCCACCAGAGTAGGGTCTGGGGAGGGTGTGTGTACGCAGACCTTGCCCCTACTCAAAAGTAGAGAGGCTGTTTCCAAAGAGACCCCCGCTCAATGTCGAAAGTTGCATTACTTGACTAACTGCTACTTCATTAATTAAAGAAGCGCAGACAGTTTAGAGATCCATTTTGATTTATTCCATCACATCCCAAAGCCAAAAAATGGTGAAATTTTGGCTCTATCGGGGATGATGGAAAATAAGATAACCACTCTTAAGATATAGAATTAGGAATTTGGCTAAAATAGCATCACACTATTTTATGAATACTCAAAGAGTAAAAGGTTTTCAATATTCAAAGATGTGTTTACAATGGCAATAGGGCCTGATTATATAGGCAGGGGGAAGGGGGAAGAAATACACAATACATTGAAAGTAGACATAAGGAAACTTCCTAGCAACATCCTCTCTCAAAGTCTTGAAATATCAGCCATGTTTTAGGTCCTTTTATTGGAATAAAATCAGGGATGGGTGTGGTTGTAGGGTCTCCAATGAAAGGCAAACCAAGGGGAATGGATAGCATTCTTTTGGGCTGATTTGGGGGGGATGTGTTCAGCCAACTAGGGGGGACAAAGGGAAAGGATAATGTGTGGTACTTTGGCTGCATATATGAGGATTTATTTGGTGGTTAAAGGGTTAAGAAAGTACCATGTTTCTCCTGGAATTTTATGGTTGTTTAGTGGGTTGTACTAGGGAACATAGTAGGGACCATGTTGGGTGGATGTTGGAAGATGAATGGGGCTGTTTTGGTTTCCTATTGTGACAAGGGATTAAAATAGATGGAAGAGACTTTATTTTGGATATCAAAAGGAAATGAAATATATTTGGAAGTTTAGGGTTGGGTTGGACGGAGTGGGGGTTGGCTAGCGGAACCCTTAGGTCAAAACGAAAGTTATTTTGGCCTTTCGGGCTAAAGGACTTTGAATTCTCACTAAAATGGATCATAATGTTTGAACCTAAGTCCTTTGGTTTCCATGAGGGTGTGGGATATGGGGGAGGGTATGATAGGGTCGGGCCTAGATATATCAAAAAGTTGTTCTCTAACACAGTGCCAACTGCCAAATACCCTCTTACTATGCAGTGTATAGATTCTTTGACCTGCTTGTATGACATAGTTAATTCGGTTTTATCTTTGTATATGTTTGCTCTTGTGTTCATTGTTGTGCAACTTCCCTTATCATACTTGATTGCAACCTCAAATCACTAGTGGTGAAAGACACAATTAGCTATGAACTGCCAATTCTATTCTATATGCATGTATCAGTGTATTACATATGCTGACAGGTTTTGCAGTAGATCTGTTTTGGCCTTTGATATCAGTTACACTTGTCTCACTTGGGTGTCTGTTCTCTACACTAGATAAACAGTGGTGCAACTTTCGTGAAGGTTGATAGAATATATAATGTAAAGGACAACTCTCCTGCCTTACTATTTCATGGTGTGTTTCTTTTTCCATTATGATGTTATTAACCTTTCATACTTCCTAACTTAGTAAGCTCCTAAGAAAATCGTTGTTGCTCATTGGATTCTGGAAGAACTACTTCATTAGGATTGAGGAATTGCTGCGATTCTTCCTGAATAGCCTGGATTCTCTCGTCGAGAGTCACTTTGAAAGTATTACCTAAACTCATCCGACTGAAAGCCTACAAAACAACGTGCTACTATCATTTCTTCAATATAAATTAATATTTTCTTTGAACTTGATGCACAAATAGATAAAATAGCAGCAAATAGCATCTTTCTAGCCTGCTCAATCTCTTTTAGAAAGCCTTATTTCTATCTATCTTTCAGCAGTCTTCAGAAATCTTCCTGACCGAAAGATCCCAAAAATCTTTGTGCAGATGATGGTGGTGGACTGGGTCCAGGACGTCTTCGGAAATGCATGAGTTTGGGATACTCATCAAAGACGAGCAACACAACAATTGGACAGTGTAAGCAACCAAGTATATTGTTTTTTTTGAATTAAATATTATCCTTCTTTTTAGTTTCAGTGTATTAACCTTTAAGGCTAGAACATGTTTCATTAATTATGCATCTCACTTCCATAGATGGTAATGGATTCAAGACGAGTACCATGAGATTAGGGGCTGATGTGATTGTCCTCACACGGTCATCTCAAGAAGGGTATTCTTCTCTATCCGGCGCTCTTTCTGTCCAAACTGTCTTCATTTTTTACTTCATTTAACTCTTCTATTGTTGTATTGTATGCTTAAGTGGGAGATGGCTCCATGAAAGAGAAATAGTGCCTCAAACTCTTTTCTAACTACCTTCTTGGTGAAATACATAGTATGCTATGTGTTTGGCATTTCATTGCACGAAACTTATAATGAATTTTTTTTAAATTTTTTTGAAAATGGGCTGACTGAATAGTTAATAGCTTGTTGATCCCTAATGCATAAATTTAACAGGACTCTGCCCGTTAAGCTTTATTCTGTAACGATATTTGTGCTTCCTAAGTTTGACACCATCTGCAAATTCTTAACTTTAGCCGAGCAACCCAAAGTGTTGGTCTTCTATCCTACACTTTTCTGCGCCGAACTGGACAGAATGATGTCATTGTTCCAATGGTAAAACCTGTTATTTCTAGTGTTAAACTTTTACATATCCTTTGAAAAATCTGATATGATTTCACAATATCAATGAAATAATGTTTCAGATTGATTTTGATATATCTGGGCATTGGGCAGAGCCAATTATTGATGCATGCCAGGATGATTGGTCTACTAACTTGAAAACCATTCTTGAATGGTCCCCATTTGCATCAAAGGATGAACTTATGCAACAGGTTTGACAATAGGAAATATGTAGTTTACTTGATTTGACTTTTGCTGGTTGTCAATTATCTTGAAATGAAGTGAAAAACAATTTTACTTGGTTAAGAGCCCTGTAATACAAGTTTAGTCTTGCTAGTTTTGAGAAAGAACCATATGTGTTTAGATGCTTTTGTGTGCTATTGTTTCATCTCGATGACTTTTAATTTTTCAAGCTCTTAAAACGTTCTAGACTAGTATAAGAGTATGACACAACATTGCAGCTACTTAACGGGATGACATCTTTGTATCTTTCACTGTAGAGGCTTGTTGCTGACAGCTGGCACTCTAGAAACCTGGTTAACCTATCTCTAAATTTCCAATATACTGGTCATTCTTGTGATATTAACTGCTCACTAATAGAACTAGTCATATGTTTGATGCATAGCTTTACTGCTTTTAAAATTTAGAGTTTTTTGTTCCTATCAATTGCCATGTGTTTTCCTATCTTGGGCTCTTGGCATTGAGCCACTATTTGATAGTTAAGAGTAATTGTTCAAGTGTGTTGCATTATTTATATTTTAAATTTACTGTTTCTGCATATCAATCTCAACAGTTTGAAGATATTGGCTCTCATGGAACCAAGGTGATAATTTTCAATCTATGGCTGAACGATGAGGGAATTTATGAATTGAATTTTGATGACGACGATGAGGTAGGTTATATTTGTGTTTGTGTATAATAGTGTATTTTTATATTTCCCATGTCTAAGATTCTAAGATGTATCTTTCAATTTCTTACAGAGGAGCCAAAGGCCTTTGTTTTTTTACATTTTGTCCTAGTTGGCTAGCTCTCAAGCTCGTTTCTTGGTAAACTCTGGAAACCACTACCCTTAAGATCTACTAGTTTTTGGCTCCATTCTTTTGTGTTCTAACTCTTAACTTTCAATATTTTTTAACTCCTTTCAGTTTCTTCCAATTTCTTTGAGGTTTTTCAAACTTCAAGTTTCTTCCAACTCCTTGTTTTTTTCTAACTTCCAGTTTCTTCCAACATCCAACTCTATTTTTCCAACCTAAAAGAGAAGAGCCTTACTCTCCCTTGGTGGATTTTGAATATCATATTTTCACGGTGTTGATTCAGTTTACCTCCAAAGTTTAATAAACCTTATAATTCAACCCAACAGAATGAAATTTAGATTTTTTCATCAAAAATACATATCTTCTTGTTTATTATGGCAAAAAAGAGAAGTAATAAAATATTCCTTCTATGTTTCAAAATAAATTAAATTTAATATAAAGCTTGTCTATGGTTTTTCAGGATTAGTATATGTGCCTTACACCTTTTAAACTTACATTTTTGAACATATGTTCGAAATCTTTTCTTTGAATGGTGCTGAATCTTTTGGAGCAGTGTTATTAGTGTTTGATGACATATGATGGAGTAAAGAACCAAATACTAAGATAATGATGACGGAAATATAAAACAAATAAAGAACAAACAAGAGATCCTAAGAAACCCTGTCACCAGCGTCTTAAATTGTGTTTCTCCATGTGCCTTGAGGCAGGCCTCCGGTCAATTTCGATTTTCGAAGAATAGTTCTATGAGGCTATTATTGTAAATCAGCATTTCACATTTTTACACCTTTAGCGTAAGAGGCGTATATGCCTTGTTGTATAAAGCCCTGAGGTGGACTCATTAAAACATAAGCCCATTTCTGTCTATTACGGAGTACTCCCTCCGTCCTGTCCACTTTTCTTTTTTAGTATGACTCTGATGTATCAATTATCCATTTTACCCCCACTTCTCAACCTACCCAATCAACAATACGGTAAATCCATTGATTCTCCCAACACCACCCATTAGGATATCCTCCACTCCAGATCCGATCTTTATCTTCTAGATCTGATTTCCATTCCCTATCTCAACATTACCGTCCAATCTGAGTATGAACCCTAGAATGGAATCGTCTTTGGAGATATTAAGTGAGTGCAACTTTACTTTGCCTCTGGAACGCATAGATCTAATTATACCGGAGTAGAAGCGACGCCCATTGATTTCAACCAGTCGCGCTCTGGTGGTGATGACGGAATCCAGCGCTCGTTTGAGTCTTCAATTTCCAGCAAGCCATTCTCCGATGACAGTGACGACAACGAAATCGAGCGCATGTCCAAGTCTGAGGAGTGGAATGGCAAAAAAAGCTTCCATTGAGGCTGTTTCAATTGCGCGTCAATGGTGAAGAGCTCTCTCTCGTTGTGGGCTCTCATGAAGGTTTTGGAGGAGACTGATGAATGGTGATGCTTTTTTTAATCATTGACCTTTAAGACACAAATTAAAATAAAATGCTCCGTAATGTTTACTTGTACTACTTTATGCTCCACGGATTGTTCACAAAAGGATATTTGAGACTTTTTGATCTACTTTAAGCTTTGTTTGGGTATTTTAGCCAAATAGAAAGTGGATGAAAAGAGTGGGACGCAGGGAGTATTATTTATGGAATTTGATCTTTTGATTATGTGATTTGAAAGGCTTACTCAATATGCAATGTCAAATATTGTCAATAGAATGCCTCTAGTACGCAATACAGAATTCCAAAAATTGCCTCCAACAAAGATAACTTGTCTAGCAGAACAACATGCTCTTTAACAATGCTATTTCTTATCAAAATCTTACTCCCCTAATCCTCTTAGAAGGTTTATATTTATTTTAGGCTCTACACTCAAAATAAAGAAGGTAAGTAATAATAATAAACTAAATACCAATCAAGGATTTATAGATCTTGAAATTATGTTTTGGCATAATGCCTCCAAAATCTATGTTAGTGAGATCCCCAATTTCCACCCGAATTTATGTAATTACCTTTCCTTTGTTATCAATGCATGACTAAGATTCCACAAAAGGCACCACCAAAGGCCACCATTCTTTAAAAATTTCCTAGGGTAGCTGGCAGCCTGGCACATGGAAACACTGCTTTGGAGATGCAAGATATGCTAAACAGTGGACATTGTTCTGCCTACTTTTAGTCTTAAGAAGCTCATTTCATCTGCAGTTCATTCCTGTTACTGGTCATGCTATAGAAATTCACCTTCGTTTTTCTGTTCTACAGTTGCCTGTGTTAAATGTCTTATATTTTATTTTATGATATCTAGTTATTCATAAAATCATATACTCCCTCCGTCCTATAATGATCTTCCCAGAGCACTATTCCAACTTCACGGGAATTTATATTTATTTGTGTTTTTTCATGGCCTATATGATAAAATAAAATATTCTTGTCACCACTTGTTTTGTTTAACTTTTGGTGTAGTTTTTAAATATGTATGTTTTATTTTTTATTTCTATACCAATATTTAAATAAAATAGATTGAAAAAACTTGGGATTTTTCTTCGTTTTGCGAACCGAGAAGATCATTATAGGACGGAGGGAGTATGTAGTATTATTATTTTTTTCATTTTCTTCATGACTAGCTTATGAATATGTTTTTTTAACTAAAAAAACTTGGATACATAGGATATAAAGTTGAGAGACGAAGCCAATCAAGGAAGCATATTTAAAAGACACAGCAAGAGAGTAGTTGAATTGCAATCACATATTTCCTACCGCTTCCGCTATTCGTTAAGGGTAACTATACATTAGAGTACTTAATTGTCATTCCCTAGTGCATCAAAATGATTGTAACTTCTTTGTTCTCAGGCATATGCATCAATATTATACCTCAGAAAGTTTAAAAAATTCAGCATCATATTAAGAGGCAAGGCTGTGGAGCAGTATAGCATTGGTGATGGTTTGCAACACTCAAAAGTAATATCCTACAAGCCACAACTTAATCTGACATCAAAAGAGGTATATCATCAGTTTGAGTCTAGATTGTAAGTTGAAGCATGCATATTCTATGGTAGTGAGTAAGTGTGATGTTTAAATGCACTGTTTTATGAGTTGTCAACTCATCCAATTATGGAACCTTTTACTGTACACATTAGTTAGAACTTTTGGCTTTGTATTTTACTCCCACCCTTGCAGGTCACCGTGGATACAACTATTGGCTTCATTAAAGAAGCACCACACCTTGGAGTTTCTGGATTTAATATCTATCACAAAAATCGCCTGATAAGGGTATGCTTATTGTTGTTGTTTCTTTAGAATTTGATGAGATGTGGCATTCCATCCATGCAGACTCAGACACTTTATGCAGTATTCCATCCCTCCCACTGTTTTGTCCCTTTTTATCTCTTTTGCCTGTTTCAACTTTTGTCCCATAGCATATTTAGTTTAATGTTTGTGTGGGTCACATTCATCCATTCTTTTTCTTACTTTTTTACATCATTATCAACCACGAATTCTATTGTTCTTAATCTAAGAGGCACTACCCGGTCTACCAAAAAAAGTGGGACAGAGGGAATAAAATTTAATGGACTCGACGTTTTCATTTGAACAATATTCTGTATTTCAGCCCTTCTGGAAGGTCACTGCAGATGGTTCTGCAAAAGGAAATGGTGTTGTTGGTATGCAAATGACTATAACCCCAGTATGACATACATGATACAATCTGCATTTGATGGTTTTCCTTATACTGTTTATTTACATATATTTCCAAATATCCAGGTGTGTTGGAAGCAAATTTTATAGAACCTGCACATGACAAGCAGGATTTTGAGAGGTCCACAATTTTTTATAGATTGGAGACGAGGCTGAAACAAATGATAATGGAATACTGGTGCGTAATTTTGTTACATGCTCGTAGAAATGTGTTAGAATTAATTCAGGATTTAAATTAAAAGTAAATAGAACTTTCCTCCCCCTCTTCAATAAGAATCTCACCGATGAAAAGGAATAGAAGCCCAAAGAATCTCAATGCCACTAAACAAAATTTTATTTTCTGGACTGCAATAGAGAGGCTGGGATATTTATAACAACTCCGTAACAAATGAATAAGATCAAAATAAAAAAAATCATAACAAACTAGGTTAACGGTTAACCTATGGCTTCAGGACTCCTAATAACCCGAGAGTCCTTTTTTTAATGATTAGCGATTAGATTAAAACAGCAACAAACTCAATTAAACAGTACAAGGTAATATAATCAAAGGTGCTTAGGTAGCCTTCTGCTATAAGTGATCCAGATCTTTATATTACTCCCATCTTTGAAAGTGATCCAGATATTAGCAATACTCCCATCTTTGAAAGATACAGGTGGAAATCTGGGTATTTCTGCCGTATTAACTCATATTCTGCCTAGCTAGATTCTTTATCTGGTTCACCACATTGAATTAACAATTCCAAGCTAGAGCCCTTCTAATGGTAGAAGAGACACATGAAAAACCGGAGGATACAGGTGGTATCTGGAAGTTTAACCTCATAAGCTACTGGTCTGACCTTCCTTGTTTGTGTAGGGTCCAAAAAATCTTGGAGATAGCTTTGTATACTTTCTTCGTGCAGGGGAACTCTGCTGGAAGGGTTGGATACGGTGGAAAACAGCATCCCCAACTTTGAATTTTATGTCCCTGCGTTGCTGGTCCGCATAGGTCTTCATTTGGTCTAAGGTTGTTTTAGAGATTATCCCATAAAAGTCTCAAAAAATTGTCTCTGGCCTCTAGTTCTGCAATCTGAGTTTTGCCCTGATCCAAAGGATGGATTGCTGGCGGGTCCCTTTTGTAAACTACCTTGAAAGGAATCAATTGAGACTAAGAGCTTGTTCTCTTCAACGTATTCTTATTACTTATTACTTATTCTTATTCTTATTACAACCAGACCAGATCAAACTAGATTAGAAACAACTTTCAATTTAACTAGCGTCAGATCTAATAGTTAAATCAGATCAGATAAAACCTAAATAAAATCAGATCAGATCAAACAAAGAGAACAAGCTCTAAGTGTGATATCCTGTATTGAACGACTACTCCGCCAAATACAGAAACTTGCTCCATTGGCGTGGTTGTTCATGGGCAAAGCACCTCAAGTTTAGACAGGGATTGACATCCTTAGATTGCTGTCCATTTGGGGATGACAGGAGGTACTCATCGGTCTCATCCTCAAACGAGTTTGACTCAACTGGAACAACTGCTGCCAAAACATGGTGAGAAAAAGAGGGTCCCTCTCTGAAAGAATGGAGTGTGGAATTCCATGTAGTCGGACTACCTCTTCACAAAAATGAGATGCAGCTGTGTTGGCAGTGTACAGGTAACTCAAAGGGATAAATGGCAGTACTTACTCACGCGGTCAACCGCTACCAATATAGTGTCAAACCCTCCTGGACGGGGCACTTCCACAATGATATCAAGAGATATATCCTCCCAAATCATCTCAGGTGTTGGTAATTGTTGTAATAGCCCACATGAGATGGAGCCTCGTATTTCTTTTGTTGGCAAACGTGGCATTGTTAGATGAATGTCTTAACATTTGCTTTCATGTTGGGCCATCATTAAGTCGCTTCAATGTCTTGAGGAACCCTCCCTGGCCCTGGATGGCGTGAGGTGAGCCTCAGTCAATGTGGCACAAATTTTAAAACTGCAAGAAAGAAATGGCCTTGATAAAACAGTTTGCCATTTACCACAGTATACCTTTAACTGTAATTCATCCAAAATTTGCTTAGTAACTGCAAGGAATCTTCAAAATTTAAAAAGTCTAGAGACATTGGTACCACCAAATGAAGGAACTCAACTTGGTGGGGGCGACAAGATAAAGCGTCAGCCTCTTTATTCTTCTTCATGGGCTTGTAAATGATATGGAAATCAAAGGGCAACAATTTGAGGATAAGGCGCTGCTTGGTATTTGTTAGGATCCTTTGCTCCAACAGGTGTCTAAGGCTTTTATGGTCTGAGACTCTGAGCATTCCACAAAATGACGACCCAACAAGTATTGCTGCCAATTTTGAAGAGCCAACACCAAAGCCAGTAGCTCACTGTCATATGCTGATTGGTGCCTATTAGAGTATGTTAGATTGTTGTTGTAAAAAGAAATTGGATGTCCTTCCTGCATCAAAATAGCACCAATACTATCCATAGAAGCATCACATCCCCCCACAAATTCAATATTAAAATTTGGAGTGTGGAAGACGTAAGGCAACTCTCAAAGCCTCAAAAGCGTGTGTTGACTTCTATGGTTCCATGTAAATGCATTCTTCTTAGTCAAATCAGTTAATGGCTTGGCAATGATACCATAATTCTGTTCAAATCTCCTGTAATATCCTGTAATCCCCAAGAAGCCATTTAGTGATGTGACATCCTTATGAGTAGGCCATTCCTCCACTAATCTAATCTTCTTAGGATCAGTTTCCTCCCCTCAAATTGGAATTTGATGGCCGTGATAAGCGACACAAGAACACCCAAAATCACATTTCTTTAAGATTTGCAAAATATCCATGCAGTTTTGTAATAGCTGAAGTATGGCGGAGGAAAACATGAGACCATAAAATGAAAAACTAAGCCAAACCAAAATGACAGCTGAATCTCAAAGTAAAAAGTAAAAGCTACAAACAAGGGGCCAATCAAAGAGAAACATTCAAAAAACAAAAAAAAAGGAGAGAAAGTGAATAAGAAAAATACTAAGAGTAACTGAGTAAGAAGAGTAGGAATATCTTAAGAAGTAGAAGATGATGATGATGATGAATAACCCCAGATTGATTTTTAAGTTTATTAATTAAGAAAAACGTATGTGCAATTGTGCCATACTTTGTGCGCATAAGGCGCTGATGTGTGCCTAGATGCTTGCTTTTCAATAATCGCCAGCCTCAGTGTTAGTGATGCACCTGCCCCTCCTCCTCAAGCGTGCCTTTCACAACTGTGCTTTGACCTACGCGTAGATTAACAGTAAATTAAAGTGAGGTATAAATTTGTGTGGAGTTATTTGATGAGATAGAAATGTGTTGGTTGATGGAAAAGCTCATGTGAAAGAGAGAATTTCCAAAAAAAAAGTGTGCAAACTGCAAAGTAATAGGGAATGTTCAAATAAGAAAAGCGTGCAATTGGGTAGTCAGTTGGGCCTTAAGCCTTAGTTGTTGCACTTGTCCCATGTGCTTTCTTTGCTTGTTTATTTTTTACCTCTTTGCGCTTTTCTTTACCCTTAGTTTGCTCTGTGTATTGTGTTTGTGTTTTGTGTGCCTTCTGTGTTGCTCTTTTCTTTACCTTTAGTTTGCTCTTTGTGTATTCTGTTTGTGCTTTGTGTGCCTTTTGTGTTGCTCGAGTCCGGGGTATCTTGGAAACAACCTCTCCACTTTCGAGTAGGGGCAAGGTCTCCCCAGACCTTTCGTGGGATTCTAGTAGGTTGTATTATAATTCATCTGCATCATTGAACTAAACATAACAAAATATTGAGCTCTTCCATTTTCATGCACTCTCCTTTCTCCTCTTCCCACCCATTCCCTCTCATTTGAACCAAACAAAAATTTAGAGTTATGGCAATCTTTGGAATTGCTTTAGGTTCTTAGAACAATGCCAATTATATTCCTCAATGACTTTTCACACATGGGAAAAAGGACTAAGGCACAAAACAACAAACCTACTCTACTGAACATCGTTGGGTTTTGGGGTGTCAAGATTTACACAAGCTAACCCTTGTAAACAACGAAACTGCTTTTGTTAGAAACAAGAGAAGTTTTATGTGTCATATTAATTTAGTCTATTTACCTAAAGCTAAAATATTGTCAAAATGGCTATTTCAGCTCCATCGGCAATGGACACATTGACACAAAACTACATTGAACTGTCTTGGAAAGTATATACTCCCTCCGTCCCATAAAAATTCTTTAGACATTCCTTTTTTGGATGTCCCAAAAAAAACTATACACTTTGTTCCCTATTTTGGTAATGAATGTGGCTACCAACAATTCTCTCTCTAAAGAAGTTCTAAGCACACTTTTTACTTATCAACAACTTTTTCAAACTTCGTGAATTTAAAGTATAAAAAATTTAATGGGACCGATAGAGTAATTGATACTAAGTAATATAAACTAATTTTAGGCCTAGAAATATCTTTGAGGTATATGATGGAAAAGACACATATTCTTAAAGTCTAAATTTAGTGCCATTTACTGATCAACTGTCTATCACTCACTCTCTCAACCTCATTTTGTGGGATTTTTATGGGACTATTGTTGTTACTTAAAAATCATTCATGTGGTTTATGCCCCTAAACTATCTTGTTCAATTGTACTAAGAATTTTAGTTTTATTGATATATGGTGTACATGTCTCATAGCCGGTCTAGTAATTTTGTCAAGTTCAATAAAAATCATTTTGGGTGTTTAGTTGAATATTGAATTTTTAAATTTGTACGTAACATGGTAATATGATTTCTTAAAGTTTTTTTTGAAGAGTTTTGTATCCAATGTCTACATAAAATTTAATAAGGTCTATGCTTTTCCCCAAAAAAAACATAAAAGGTATTTTTAACCTAAAAGTAATTTAGTGAGTGTAGTGTTCTATGACATTTCAAGGGGTGATTTTTGTGCATTGGCTATATGGAGAGGAGGTTACCAATTTAATAATTTAATGCAAAGTAACAAAATAACTTTCAAAGAATTCGTACCAATGCAGGAAAGCTTGTTGTCACTTGGTTGGACACACGCCCCCTGGTCTGCCTAGTGTACAGAGAGAAGCTACTGCCCGACCACAAGTGAAAGTTGTGTATCCACAAATGCAGTCGCCAATGGCTGAACATCATCCAGTCGATAGTCCTGTGGATGAGAGATCAATTGATATGATATCTGAAGATAACATTCAGCTCTTTATGAGGTAAAATGTTGCCCTTTTAAAGGCTTTATTTCTGCACAGCTACTCTGCAGTTTCCACACCAAGCTCTTACAGAGGGGGACTGATTCTACATTTCTACAGATGTGAGGCTTATATACAAAAGAAAAATGAACTGAAGAAAACGGTGAGTAATTTACACTGCATTGTGCATGTTTGACGACAAATTTTCTTTTTTCTTTGGATATGCTTGGTCTTGAATTTCTTTCTGTGGCTTAAATACTCAAAAGAACCACTTTCTAAGTTCATCTTATTTTTCTATGAGTTATAGATTGTGGAACTAGAGAGGGAGTTGGATGATACTAGAATGAAGTGTGCTGATATTTCGTCACAACTGGAAAGCCAGAAGAAGATCAAAGGTATGAGTAGAGTGCAAATGTTTGAAAAACCTTCTGGTGACCTAAATGTTTGAAGAGCCTTAAATTAAAAGCATATACATGTCTATTGACAAGAATCTAAACGTGTAAGAATGTATTTAATATTTTAATACATGCAACAAAACCCAATATGCATTATCCGAATTTTGTTGGGGTGGGGCGCCCAGATGAAGGGGGTTGCATTTTGTTCAACTTATTACTTATTTTTATTAAAATTAGATAAGATAAGATCAAATTCAATCAGAATTATTATTATCATTGTTGTTGTTGTGGTGGTGATGGTGGTGTTGTGGTGGTGGTGGTGGTCGTCGTCGTCATCGTCGTCAACTTCTAGGAAGGGATGGATGGAGTCCTGGAAAAACACGTCTAGACATGAAAAAAGATAACACTCACCTTGGCTTATAATAATAATAATAATAATAATAATAATAATAATAATAATAATAATAATAATAATAATAATAATAATAATAGTAATAGTAATAGTAATAGTAATAGTAATTATTATTATCATTGTTGTTATTATTATTATTATTGCAACCTATCATTTGATAGTTTTTTCACATTTATCAATGTCGGATTTGAATGTAGTGTTCATGAAATAATCGTGTGGACTCAAAGCTTGTCATAACAATGTTTGAACATGATTTGTTTTAAATTTAGGGAAAATGTATTATTTTGTAGCATAAAAAATTTATATTCATATGTTGTACTATAAATTTATTATGTAAGATATAGAAAAAAATGCAATATTATATAGCATAACATTCATATTTTCTAATTAGATATTTTAATAATAATACTCTCTCTTCCCTTTATTGAATTTAAAAATTAAATAATTTATTTTTCAATGATTAGTTAGTCAATAATATATATTCTAATGGATATATGAATTGATTATTTTTATTTCATAAATCTAATAATTCCTAAACAAACCTAATGATTGTATTATAATATGAATGATCATTATGATTTTTAAAAGTTACTCCCTTCGTCCCACATAGATCTTCCCAATAGCCCTTTTTCTTTGTCCAATATAGATCTTCTCATTTCATTTTTTAACAATTAAAATACCACAACTACCCCCACTTACTTTATTTATTACACCTCACCCACCTCATTTAATACACTCCACCCATTTTTCATTAAGGGTATTATGGTAAACTTTCACCTTTTTTCAACTCTCCTTAAAAACTACCAAAAGTCAAAATGAGAACATTTTAGGGGGACGGCGGGAGTATTAAATAATGGTAGTAATTTTAAATTTAGTTTGAACCAAATTAGGGGTGTTCATTCGGCAAAATTGTATCGAACAGAATCGAAATTTTGGTAAAATTATTTTTGTACTGAATACTGAACCATAACAAATTGGTTTGGTATGATTAATATCAAAAATATTTTGGTTTGGTATCCGGTAATACCAAAAAAACCAAAAATTTGATTTTATTTTTCATCTATAGTTTGCTTTTTTTATTTTCAATTTTGGATTACTAGCAATCTCATTCAAAATTTAAAGAAATTAGAAATACTTCATACTTTTTAATTATAGTCAGTCATAAATTAATTAATTTTTCATATTATTATGAAATTATCGGAGCACACAATTTTGATCCTGTAAAAAAACTAAAATATAAAAAAAGAAAACAAAATAAAAAAAGTTAAAATGAAAAACTAAAAATGCAATATAAAGAGTTCTTAAATATTATTTGGTTCTGGTGAGAATGCGATCTTATGAAAGAAATAAGAATGAGTCTGGTGCTTTAGATTGTGAGACCTAAGGGTTAGGATTGCATTAAAATTAGGTACACCAAAAGGGTTTGAAAATGCGTTATGTCGAAATGCACCAAAATCTTTTGAAATTGCACTATCTCAAAATCTGAGTGCGTGATGCAATCTGAGCCACACGATGGATCAGATCAAGAGGCCTACTCAATAAAATTTTGGTGGAACTTCAGATATAACAACTCTAAATGGGCTCATTTCATGAGAGCTAAATATTGAACTCAAAGTTTTGAAGAAAAGATCACAGACTCCCCTACTAGGAAGAGGATATGTAGGATACATATAAAGGCAGAAGAGTACCTAGGAGATATCACAAGAGATCTGGAGGAGGAAGAGGAACCTGAGGCAGTACATATGTCCATCAAGCAGGCCTTTGAATACTACAGGAGTCAAAAAAACTTCCAACTCAATGACAAATTCAATTAGAGTACACTACAAATCCCAAAAGTGCAGATGTTCCTTTGGAAAGCAAACAATAATATTTTACCTTTCCTGGAAGCACTATGCTCAATTGGATATTGTCTGCCTTCCAGGGGTCCTTTCTGTCACAATGGAGAAATGAACATTGATCACTGCCTACTCCAATGCAACAAGATTAGGGGGATTTGGGAGACTCGCAATAACTTTTTGAAGGGATAGAATTAAGAGATGGGATCTCTCTAAATAACATGTGATGGAGTGGAATTTAAGATCAGATACAAAAACTCTAGAGGAATTATGAAGATGATACTACCAGGAATGATATCATGGTCAATGTGGAAGCACTATGTAGAAATTACCTTCGGTAATGAGAGGTAGAACACAACTACCATATCTCGTACGCTGAAGGAGATCCTCACCACATGGAGCTGGAAATACAAACATAAGGGATGGATGATCAAGGACAAAACAATGATGGAATTGGGGATACAGGTCTTCTCACTGAATGGGGAAGCAATTCGTATGACGGCGAACGGCTATTGAAGAATTATGGAGATAATTCGCTTTTTCACAGAAGCTAAAAGGAGATCAAGAAAGTCTGGATTTTTCTATTAGTTAATTTTCTGTTTTTTAATCATCCATTCTGTATTGCGCCTTTATTTTTGGGTGTTGGTCTAGTCCTCCCCGAACGTGTACTTCACTGTTCCTTTTTGTAATAAACTAGGTAAGACCGGCCTGGGCCTTACCCCACCGATTTTGGTGGTTTCTTCCGGGTTAAACAAAAAATAAATAAATAAATAAACACACACACACAGATATATATTGTGTGTGTGTGTGTGTGTGTCTATATATATATATATATATATATATATATATATATATATAGGGATTGACTCCGGTGAGATGACACCTTGTGGTAAGATGACATGTTTCAGTAAGATGACGCTGGAGCTCACCACTGATCACTGCAAAGCTCACCAATGGCCAATGTAAAGCTCACCTAACTGTAAGGCAAAGCTCACCATATTTTTTTCAACACTTTGAATTTTTTTCCAAAAAATAAAAAAGCTCACCACATTACACTGCAAAGCTCACCAATGGCCAATGTAAAGCTCACTTGGAAATAAGGCAAAGCTCACCACTTTGAACACCAAAACTCACCTCTTTTTATTTTGAAAATTAAAAAATTAATAAAAAATAAAATAGCAACACCGGTCAACCACCGGTCAGTGGCGACGGCGCGGCGGAGACCGGCGGCGGCGGAGGTGGTCGCCGGCGGCGGCCGGCGACGAAGGTCGGCGGTGGTCAAAGTCCAGTCAGCTTTTCCTTTGATGATGGTCAACGGTCAATGGTCAAAATCCACTTTCTTTGATTTTTTTTTCAAAAAAAATTCAAAGTGTTGAAAAAATATAGTGAGCTTTGCCTTAGAGTTTGGTGAGCTTTGTAGTTGTCCTTGGTGAGCTTTGCAGTGGCCAGTGGTGAGCTTTGCGTCATCTGACCGTAGCATGTCATCTCACCGTAAGGTGTCATCTGACTGGAGTCAATCCCATATATATATATATATATATATATATATATATATATATATATATATATATATATATATATATATATATATATATATATATATATATATATATATGGAGGACATTGATGAGGCAAGAACCGTTGTGGTGTCACACATGGACGAGGACATGGAAGAAAATCCAGATCAAACTCCCGACCACCCTATGACGTCTATGCTCAGTGGAACTCACCCCACCCGTGATGTGTCGTGTTGTAATGCCTTGAATCTGACCCGTTACAGCAAGGACAGGGGTCTCGCTGCGAGTCGGAGGGTTCAGGGGGGCGACGCGCCCGGACCGACGATACACAATGTTGATGTACTGGGCTTCTAATTATATATTCATTCTGTAGTTTTGGGCCCAAGTCTTTTAGGGTTTAGCCAAGCACTATATATATGAGTGCTACCACAAACCCTACATTGTATTCTGTTCTTTGCATCTCCATCCATAATAAACTGCTCCCCCTCTACCTGTGGATGTAGCCAACACAACGTTGGTGAACCACGTCAATTCCGTTGTCGTGTTTTTCTCGTTTATATTTGTTATTCTCGAATTCCGCATAACAAATTGGTATCGGAGCCTCCAGGTTAATCGGTGTTCTTGGAGAATTTTGAGATGTCTGCTTTAAACGTCGACAAATTCACAGGGAAGAACAATTTTAGTTTATGGTAGATCAAGATGCGGGCTTTGTTGAAACAACAAGGCTTCTAGGCGCCGTTGTCAAAAGACAAAAACGTTGTCGCTACATCTGAGATGGCGACTCTTGAAGAGAAGGCGCACTCAACGATCATGCCGTGTCTGTCAGATGACGTTATCACGGAGGTCTTAGACGAGAAGACTGCTGCTGGCATGTGGTTGAAGTTGGAGAGTCTGTACATGACGAAATCTTTAATCAATAAGCTACTTCTGAAACAACGTCTATTCGATTTACGAATGGTTGAAGGTACACCACTCAGGGAACATTTAGAGCAATTAAATACTTTGCTATTAGAATTGCGTAATATCGATGTAAAGATCAAGGATGAAGATGCTGCCCTGTGCCCTGATTCTGTTGGTATCTCTCCCAATATCATTTGAGAATTTTGTTCAATCGTTCATTGTTGGGAATTTTGTTCAATCGTCTTCACCATTCTTGATAATTCTCCAAAGGAGAAAGTTGGTGGATTGGATGTAAATCCTCATCCGCTCCTTCCAATAGGTGTAGTTCGTTCCGTCAAACAACGGAGGCCTTGTGGTGGATTGCCCTTCACCTAAACCTGCGTATGAACTTTGAGTAGAAGCGATTGATCGTTTCTCTCAAACGGTTAAGTCTTACAGAGAGTAAGGCTCTGATACCAATTGTTAGAATAAAGGCCCAACGCTAGAGGGGGGGGTGAATAGCGTTTAAAACAAAATCGCAGGAAATTAAAAAACGAGAGCGTAAAGGTAAAGAGCGTAAGGAAGGAGCACACCGAATTTTATCCTGGTTCACCACAACGTGTGGCTAATCCAGCCTCCCGAGAGACTCTCTCGAGCTACACTAACTCCGTTAAGCTTAAGGGTGCTTAACAAACTGATACAACTTGAGAACCCGAATCACACGAGCCTCAACACCTTTGCTCGGAGATACCGCACTCCAAGACTTCTCACGAGGGAACAAAGAACTTCCTTCGAGTTTACAACAAGGGAACAACCTCCCTTAAAGTGTATGAAAACACTTAAACACTCAGGAATAGAACTCTCACAAAGAGTAGATATGAGTGAACTAGTATACACTCAAGAACACGACAATTTCTTCAAGAATTGGCTCTCAAATAGCTAAGAAAAATAGGAATGATTATGCAATGAAAGAGTATTGAAATGTTGAAGAATTGTGTGTAAAATGAGAGGATTTGGGTGCCATTTTATAGCCCAAAATGGGATAAAACCGTTGCTAAATTTTCCAACAGGATGAAGACAAATTTTTCAGAGTTGCAGGGAGATAATCGATTGTCTAGACATGATAATCGATTATTAAAAGATTCCCTGTCCAAAAGTTTAAAAAACTATCCGTTGGAGGACAACGGTAACCCAGATAATCGATTGTCAACTAGTGATAATCGATTATTGGTCCTCTCAGTAGTTTCTAGGTTTTGGCTGCACAGACTGATAATCGATTATTGCAAAAGTGATAATCGATTATTGAGTGCTTCAGAACTTTGGAGTTCCAAAGCTGCAGGGGCTGATAGTCGATTGTCACTAAGGTGATAATCGATTATTACCCAGCTAAAGTCTAGCCAACTGAAACCCGTTAAACCGAGGTCCAAAAACGAAGTGTTCCCAAAAGTAAAAACCACGTTTGAAAAACATTGTATATGGTATAAAATAGAGAAAACAAGACTTGTTCGGTAAGAACCAAGTCTCCAAGGTCGTACATCACGTGCGTACGGTTTTGACCGTTTTTCACGTGTTAGACCGATTGACCAAGAACAAAAGTGGTTTTTATGAAATAATTATTTGGGAACCTTTTAAATATGCTCAGAGATAAAAACAAGGTTTAAAACATAGAAAACCACCGAGTTGGTTCGGCCAACTGAAACCCGTTAAACCGAGGTCCAAAAACGAAGTGTTCCCAAAAGTAAAAACCACGTTTGAAAAACATTGTATATGGTATAAAATAGAGAAAACAAGACCTGTTCGGTAAGAACCAAGTCTCCAAGGTCGTACATCACGTGCGTACGGTTTTGACCGTTTTTCACGTGTTAGACCGATTGACCAAGAACAAAAGTGGTTTTTATGAAATAATTATTTGGGAACCTTTTAAATATGCTCAGAGATAAAAACAAGGTTTAAAACATAGAAAACCACCGAGTTGGTTCGGACGCCAAAAAACCGAACGCCGAACACGGTACGCCGACTTAGGTGATTTTGGTTCTGAGCAAGGACCAGGGATTTTAACAATAAAAAATTGTTCAAAAATGTTTATTTTGATGCACAAAAATATTTTATGATTTCGTAAAATTATTTTGACTCTTTGAGAACCGAGACTTGAATTGATTGTCGGTTTTGATCACAAAAGACCGACTCGACTAAGTCTTCAATTCTTGATCTTGTCCTTGAGTCTTTTAGGTCTTGTTCCATGCCATTCTTCACGCCTTGAGTTATTCAACGAAACTCTTCATATCCACGGCGGTTTGGCAATTATCAAAACCTGTCAGAAATGAACACAACTTTAGTTAAACGTGCAAAATGTGTTCCAACAATTTCCCCCTTTTTGATAATGGCAAACAAGACGGGGATATGCATAGGGTTTTGATCTTTTTTGAAAAAAATTCCCCCTTAATAAAATTCCCCCTTAAAATATGCATAGCCCTTATCTTCCCCCTTTTGACATTAACAAAAAGATTTAATAACAAAAACCATAAAAATTTTTATTAATTATTTAAGAGAAATAGAGGAGTACATAGCGAAAGCATATTAAAAGATGATAAAATAAGGAAGAGAAAAATAGAGCTAGAGCTCTTAGAAATCCGGGGAAAGATCATTGAGAAGTTGTTCTTCGTCAATGTCTTCTTCTTCATCGTCTCCATCTTCATCACCATTGCCATCATCATCATCATCATCTTCTTCTTCTTCTTCTTCTTCAGCTTCTTCGTCTTCCTCTTCTTCTTCTTCTTCAACGTTCACCGCTTCTTCTCTTCCAACGTCGTTAGTCCCACTTGGTTCACCACCTAGGTTTGGCGGAGGAACATAAGGGACCATTTGAGCGTAGGGGTAGTTGACAAAGTCAAAATACCCGTGAAGCTCACGGCTCAGAATATTGACGTTATGTGCCGTTTTGGAGAAGTTGGTATCTATCCGAGAAAGGGTGGTGGTCAAAGCCGCCATTTGCTCGGAAAGAGAGGGGTTGGTCGAAGCGGCGTCGGTCGAGGCAGTGGCTCTCGGTTGGCGGCGAGGACGAGGCTGCGGGAACGTAGCTTCATCGGTTCCCGGGTGGAAGGAAGACTCGTCAATCACCCAATGCTTCGTCCCTTTGCATTTTGGCCCGACGTCCGTCTTGATGTGGTACTCATCAAGGATTGCCATGACGAGAGGAGCACAGGGGAGCGGCCGATTGTCGGAGGTGGCGTTTAACATGTGGATCATCACAAATTTACACCAATTGATATTGGCGTTGTGAATCATCGCATGGATCGTCTTCGTGTCTTCTTGGGAGAGAGTGGTGTGGTTGAACTGTGAATGAAGCAGCCTGTGGAGAACCGGGGAGGGAGAATTTCCCGGTGCTCAAACTTCTCCGAGAACCGCGTTGCCTCTGACTGCTGGGGTCCATGCCGAGTTAAATCTTTAAGAGGCTGCAGATTTTTTGTGTCCATTATTGATGACTACTCAAGGATGACTTGGGTGTACATGATGAAGCATAAAAGTGAAGCTTTCCAGAAGTTCAAAGAGTGGAAAACATTGATGGAAAATCAAACAGGGAAGAAGATAAAGAGGTTGCAAACTAATAATGGGCTGGAATTCTGTTGGTCTGAATTTGATCAATTCTGTAAGGATTAAGG